TACTAATGCAATACGTTCTCCGACTTATTGTAATATTACAAAATATAATTATTGTCTTTAAATTTCACACAAAAACAGCCACAACTATTTCGCTTAGTCTAGAGGATAACACAATCATGAACACAGAACACTTACTCTATCGTGAAATCAAAATTTAAAATTTAAATTCAGGATTCTTCGATATACATAAAACTGACATTTATATTTACAAACTGTCCACTGCTGTCCACGTCTACTGTCTGTCTCAGTGTTGCCAACCGTACGATTGAAATCGTATTTATACGATTTTTTTAACCCTCGGTGCGATGTACGATTGAATCAGTGAGATCGTACGTAAAAGTACGATCTTTACTTTTTTAGTAGGTTTATTTAAATATCTGCACCAATAAAAAAACAATAAAAAACAAAAACTACTTGCAAAGATTAATAGGCCGTTCGTAATTTCTGAAGGCAGTCGTTCTGACTTATCGTGATTTTGACCATGGTGATTTTGTACACCGACTATCACGGCATAATAAAAGCTTGCATACAAAATTTCAATCACTTTCAAGTGACAGACATTGATTACTTTAAATGTGTTAATTTAAAGTTTCATGTATTTTCTTAAGTTTTTTTTTCTCGTTGTAAACATGTTTATAAATAGATAAATAAATTATCATGCCAAAGTTTATTTTTATTTTTTCATTCCATTTAAGTTATATTATGCTATGCATGCATCTGTTGTACAATTTTTTTGTCGAAATACCATTTTTCTACTCTACTTGTACGATCTCTCAAAAAAAATATTTGGCAACACTGGTCTCTCTACAAACGACGTAGACCTGTAGTTAACATCTGAGACGCTAGATGACGCCATCGTTGCTGCGGTCGTTGCGTTTCTAATCTTTATATCCCTTATCTCTGTTAATTAATTTATAGATGAATATCAAATCTGCTATTTCTCTTCTTTTTCTCAGACCCACAAAACTGAATTCTTCTAACAATAAATTGTAGTCATAGTGACGAATAGGATAACGGCCATGTTTTTTAAAGTAAATAAATTTTTCAAATTTTCTTTGTACAGATTCTAATGCACTTATGTACTTTAAATGAACTAGTGAAAAATAAATTAGTATTCCAAACACAACTGCAATACTCCAGTTTGCTACGAACTAGTGAAAAATAAACAGAGAAGATGGCTTCTAAAGATTTAAACTTTCTACAGTTTCTAATAACAAAACCCAAGATTTTTGTTGCACTTTGTACAGTGTTTTCAATGTGTTTCGAAAAAGTCAGTTTGCTGTCAAATAAGATACCTAAATCTCTGTAATTATATATCCGGGGAATAACAGGATTATCTAATTGATAATCATATGTTTACTTTCCTGGAAAAGGACAGGACTTTGCATTTGATAGTATTCAAAGATAGTTTATTTATGATACACCAGTTATGTAAGTTAACAAGGTCGTTTTGAAGAGCAATGCAATCTGAGGTATCCTTTATTTCCCTATAAATTTTCATATCGTCTGTAAACAAAAGTTTCTTAGAGTTGATACAATGACAGATGTCATTAATAAAAATAACAAATAAATAATGGGCTCAAATTTGAGCCCTGAGGAACCCCTGACGTTGACACGAAATTAAAAGATTTGGCACTCTCGTATTCAACATATAACTGTCGATCAGTTAAAAAAGACTTTAACAGTGATTGCATACTCTGTGAAACACCAAAATGTCTCAGTTTCAGAAGAAATTGTTTGTGAGACACCATATCAAACTCTTTACTAAAATCTATGTATGTGACGTCAACTTGATTTCTACAGTCTAAAGAACTAGATATGTATTGCGTAAATGTACACAGATTTGACGCGGTACTTCTGAGCTTCACAAAACCATGTTGGTATTCCGTGATTGAATTTTTTACGTGGGAATATAATATATTAGAAAATATAATTTCAAACATTTTGGAAAAAACTGAGATTAATGCGATTGGTTTATAATTTGATATATCAGAAACTTTACCAGCTTTGAAAACGGGACAGATTCTAGACATGTCTGGATAGGACTCTTCTTGTAGTATACGATTAAATATGTAAAAGAGTGGAACTGACAAAAAACCTATATAATTTTTTACCAGTTTGGATGAAACATTATCAGGACCACAGGTTAACTTATATTTTAATTTATTAACTGCGTTGATAATTTAATCTTGAGATATATAACAAATATTAAGAAAATTACTGGGATTTGTATCAACATCATCAAGTATCTCATCATCAGATCCATCACTAAACACGCTACCAAAGTGCCTGGCAAAAGCATTCACAATAGATTGGGGAGTGGTTAGGGTTTCGTTACTGTATGACATTTTCTTGGGAATCCTGGTTTTATTTTATTTTGATTGAATATATGACCAAAAACGTCGGGGATTTAGTCTAATGTTATTTTCTGAATTTTGAATGAATCTATTATAACATCTAGTTATATCACGTTTTACAATTAGTCTTAGGTTTTTATATCTCAAAACTAGGTCGAGGTCAAATCCTAAAAATATAATTAGAAATAAAAAAAGAATGTTGAACAATGGAAAAATAACCAAAAATTATAACGCATCTCTTATTTTCTTTCGATAGACTTTTTCTATTTCAATTACTTCTAAGAAGTGTTGCCAGTCTAGTACAATTGTACTAGATCTAGTACATTTTCTAAGAATTTGGTACACTCGAATCAAAATGTAGTACCTTTTCTTTTTCAGCGTGTTACCATTTGACAAGTGTAAAATGTATTGTTGAGATCTTGCTCCTTGTTTAGTTTTCATTCGCAAAAAAAAACTTTTTTTTTCTTTAATCACAATTCATTCGAAAATCTGGTACATTTTACAGAATCTAGTACATTTTTATGAAATCTGGTACATTTCTTAGACAAATCTGGTACGTAACAAAAATATATTCTGGCAACACTGCTTCTAAGTATCTCCTGCTATAACTATGTCCACTCTGCATTTCTTCTTTTTGTCTCTACTCACTGTTGTTCTATCTGTGCTGGTCTCTTCACAACAACTTACTTTCCAATACCATTTTTTATTTATAACTCTACTTATTTTTCTTTAACACGTTTATATAAATATTTCCTTCAAATTCCCGCAATACTAACTATCAAAATTCTACAGTACTTGTCGTACGCGTTTGCCCTCGATCCATATTCCTTAATTTAAATTTACCAAAAGCATTTTAATTTATTTATTGTATATTTAAGTGTGATTTATTGTAAAGAGTGTGGTAAAAAATTTAAATCGATATCTGATACATACTAACAACATAAATATACAGGTATTTATCACGATACACTTTTTAAAATGTGTATACGAAGAAATATCAAAAAGTTTATGTGCCTTCAACACCTAAAGATTCCTACACGTATCATTATCAGAGTTGGGTAATATCCGGATACAGTATCCGGATACTGTATGTGTATCCGAAAGCTGTATCCAGATACTTTTCCAACTTTGTATCCGGTATTCGTATCCGTGACCAAATTTGTAAGTATCCGGATAATTTTTTCGGCATTCGGATACTTTTAAATTATTTACCACAATCGTAACTGATCCAATCCATATTATCTCTATTAAAATATATAATCGAAATACTTTGAGCTACCCTGTATAATTATAAATAAAATACGCATTTTTCAATATTACAATATTTAAGACACAATTGCAATAGGTACCTACTTAAATAAGAAAATAGTAAAATAATTATTATATTATGATTTGTAGTTTTATTTGGTGCACCCTGTAAAATTTAAAATAACGCAAAAAAAAATTCTCATCGCCAAGGATGAATTCGACGATTCACCCAATGTACAGACAGTCGGGATTCAGCATCTTGCGGCACGTTTTTACAGGAAAAATCCTGCAAACCCTTGTCCGGTGTTAGCGTCACGAACTTTTGGAGGTTCCATTAGGCCAGTTATGTTTCAGTTGGCAAAGACAAGAGACGGTTGTTCCTGCGTTTTTATATAGTACAATATAACTAAACTTTTTGTATCAGTTTTAGTGCCTAACTATACGCAAAGGTAAGTAGGTGTAGGTACCTCGAATTTTTTGTTTTGTAAAATGTCTAATTACATTATTAGTTCTTAAAATGTAGTCGAAAAAATACATGTATGCCGTTGTTGGTCATGTGTTATTTATGTCGTCAGCAACATCAATAAAATATACAGATCTAACAAAATGAAATATACGAGCCGGCTTTGCCTATGCCAGAACGAAACATTCAGCAATCTCTCACTCCTCCTCCTTTCGACGCTCTCGACTCTACCAAGTACCCCTCATCGGAGGATCCACAAAAAATGGATTTTATAAACATGGCAAGTCGCGCCAACAACGAGCTTATTTGGTTAGATTTATATGGACACCACACTGGCTGGTTTTTGGCGCGGTTCAGGCGTGATTCGTTTTATTTACACGCACCTTTATGTTTTATTGTTCATTTTGTTTTAATGGTTTATATTCACAGAGTAAAAATAATAAACAATTTATTGAGTAGTTTTTTTCCTGTTTCTATTATATCGCTTTCCATTTTTGATTATTTATTTATGCCTAGTATTGTTTATTGTTACTCGTAATCAATCTTATTGCATAATTATAACTGTTAGTATGAAAACATTATTTTAACTCACTTTAAAAGTATCCTTTAAAGTATCCGGATACTTGTATCCGAGTACTTTTTAGGTGAAAGTATCCTAAAAAGTATCCGGATACATTGTAAGTATCCGTATCAGGTACTCGGATACTTTTTTCCGGTATCCGACCCAACTCTGATCATTATGTATACCCCATATAAAACTTGATTGTTTCATTGATATCATCTAATATAGTACTTTTATTTTTCATAGTACGAAAGCATGGCTATATGAAAAGTTCAAATCCATTTGTTTTTGAAAAGTTGTTTTGAGCCCATCAAACTGAGGTAGCTCCATGTACACGCAATTATTTTTAAAATGTGTTTTTTATTTTCAGAAAAATGTCAATTCATAAAAACTGAATTATGAATAATGAATACATCCAACAATAACTATGCCTCCAGCCCAGCGACTACACCAGAATCATCTATTGACGAAGAAAAGTTTCTGGTGCCTTATCAAATCAGCTCTAAGTTTAAAAAGAAATGGTTTAGATTGGCGAATACTCCTTTTGGTATTTTGGCTGTTAGTTTTCTCCAGGTGGGTAAAGATTACATTTTTTTCAAAAATGCCGAAAATATCTATAACCAAACCCCTCAAAAAGTATACAGACTTTTTCATGCTGTTCTCCTTTTGACTAAAAATCATCCAAAAAAAAAACACCTGTATAAACACCTCTACTGTTGCCGAGGTAATATTTGAAATGTTCAACGATATACAGTATGTACCCCTAAGTTGGAATCATATGGAAAACTTTTTTATTATTGATTTTAGGAAAAAAAGTTACTCTTGATAAAAAGTCCTACATGACCCAAAACCTAAAATACAGCCAGCAGATATCAAATTTTTCAATCCGTATACGAGGTTTGTCAAAAAATATGAATTTTTCTCATGAGTAAAGCACGTTTATTTTTGAGAAAATCGAAAATTTTTATTAAGTAAAGTTGAATAAAATTGAAAATTACATTCAAATATGCAATTACACCGTTCTATCTGAAAAACCAGATTTTTCCTAGATTTTGCATTGATCCAACTAATTACGGTAATCCATATTTTTGTCTCCCTCTTCTCTACTATAAACATAATACGCTTTCCTTTTCTTAATGTTTGTGAAGAATTTAGCAATTTTCTTAATGAAAATTTTCGATTTTGTCAAAAATAAACGTACTTTACTTTTGAACAAAATTCATATTTTTTGACAAACCTCGTATACGGCTTGAAAAATTTGATATCTGATGAGTGTATTTTTAGTTTTGGGTCATGCATGACTTTTTATCAACAATAACATTTTTTCCTAAATTCAATAATAAAGTTTTCCATATGATTCCAACTTAGGGGGACATACTGTATATCACAAATTCTCACTAACATTTTTTTCTGAATAATAATAAAAAAATGGTTAACCTTTCTTCTATTTTAAGCAGGATTATATTGCATTGAAGTAACTATAAATATACGACGAATACATTATGTAGGTACTTAACAATCTGATATAAAGGTTAAAATAACAGTTTACAATTTTATGAAATAACGTTTGAATTTAGGTATAAACAATCCCAATTTAAAAAAATAAATATTTTGAAAAACGGATGATTTGTATAATTAAAACTTCAATTTATGATAAAAATATTTTTGTATTTTAAAATAGAACATGCGAGTCTATGATTTATACCAAATTTTATCGTAGAAACTGACTATAATTTGTAAATTATAAGAAAGGTTTTGAAAATCGTTTCAAAAGCTAATTTTTATTAAGTTATAAATACACTTAAATGCACTTAAAGGGCGAAAAACAATAAAGTTTACACAGTTGAAAATATTGTCGCAATTGAAGAATCCAATCAGTTTTCACAAGGCCCTAGTGACTCACCAACTTCTTTAATTGATGGCAGATCTGCATCATTACAATCTATTGCAACTGAACAAATTGCAGAGAATAACAAGAACGAAAGTACCAAAATATTCAAAAAGAAGTCGACATACAAAAAAAAAACAGAAAAACTAAAAGAAAGCAAACCAACAACAGAACCCAAATTAAATTTAAAAATATACAAAGAAACAAGGTCAGACTCTGTTACTAAATAAATAGTTTAATGTCGTTCAACACTTTACATATTAATTGTCAATCTTTAGTCCCACACTTTAATGATTTTTGTCACTTAATTCAAAATGAAGGTTTTGATATTGTAGGAGTAACAGAGACATGGTTAAAGCATAACATATGTAGTAACATAGTAAATCTAAATGGTTTTTCTTTCATTAGACAGGACTGGCACACTAAAAGAGGTAGAGGGGTAGGTATTTACAATAAAGATAGGTTTCATTACAATTAAATTTAATAAATTCAATTTAGTAGTAGGAAATTTTTACAGACCGCCAAATACTGACAAAAATGCATTTTTTACTATTTTTGAAGACATTTTAGGTGATATGTATGCAAAATATGAATACTTAATTTGCATGGGAGATTTTAATTTTGATCTACTCGATATTAGTCACAAGAATATAAACGATTTATCAATTTTTTCGATACTGTTAATTGAATTCAGCTTATTTTTCGAACCTACGTGCTTTTCACCAACCAGAAGATCTCTTCTTGACTTACTGATCCCCAATTATGACTCCCAAAAATGTCATGTAAAAGTGATTCAAGCTCATTTCACAAGACACTCTCTTGTGTCTTGTAAACTCGATTTTAATTGACCAAGTATACAAAATCATAAAATATTTACTTACAGAAACCTAAAATCTATAAACATGCAAGATTTTCGAGAAAATCTGCATATGTTGGCTTGGGGAGAAATTTATGAAACAGCTAATATTGATAAAAAAAGTTGAAATTTTAACCAATAATAGTTTGCAATTTATCGACATTTTTGCGCCTGTTATCACTAGATTTATCGGAAATAATCCTTATGCCCCTTGGTTTACGGATAATACAAAATTATTGCAAAAATTACGTGACAATGCACAGAAAAATTGTAAAAAAATAAACCTTGTGCGAACTGGTCTTCCTATAAGCAATTGAGGAATTACACCAATTATGCGATAATTAATGAGAAAGAGATCTACCTCAGGCAAAAATTTGCTACTTTAAATTCTAATTCTAAACAACTGTGAAATGAGATAAATAAATTAAATATAAAACAATAATAAACCCAATGAAATACCTAATCATTTGAATGATGTTGATAATATAAATAAATACTTTACTAGTTTGCAAAATAAAGACCTAAAGGACGCGATAATAAATTTTTATGCCTCAAACACAAAAAATAAGATTAATAATAACTTTCAGTTTGAAACTATTACAGAAGATATTATTTCTAATATAATATTAAACATTAAATCTAAAGCTTTTGGTACTTATGATCTCAATATAGATATATTACTGCTGTTTTGTCCTTTTATAATTCCTCACATTACTAATATTATTAATCAGTGTATTATATCATCTTACTTTCCTCGAAACTGGAAATTTGCAAAGTAATACCCATTCCTAAAATCAAAACGCCCTCTGAAATGGGTCATTTAAGATCTATTAGTCTATTACCAGTGCTATTATAAATACTAGAGAGAATTATGGAGTTTCAAATCAGAAAACATTTAACTAAATTTAATTTATTGCCCACTAAACAGTCCGGCTTTCGCAAGGGACATAGTTGCACGACTGCTCTTGCTGATGTAGTTGATGACTTGATTCATGCTGAAGATAATATTAAATTAAGTATCTTAATTTTACTGGATTACTCTAAAGCATTTGATATGCTGAATCATGAACTACTTTTGGCAATCACATATTATTTCTGATACTGCTACAAAACTTGTTAGCTCTTTTTTAAATGATATATTTCAAGTGGTTGAAATAGGTATGAAAATATCTCAAAAAATTGATTTAACAATAGAAGTTACACAAGGAAGTATACACCCTATATACCAGTAACTTCCAACATGCACTTACATTTTGCTACTACCACTTCTACGCAGATGATACGTAAATTTATTACTCCTTTAGTCATGACAAAGTAATGGAATCATCTCGGGCTATTAAGAGTAAATCCTAGCAAATCATGCGCCGTATTATTTTGCAAAGATTTTTTGAAAAATGAAGTAAAAAATTTATTAAATTTAAGACTTGGAAGTGAAAATATACCAATTAGTGACTTTGGCAAAAGTTTACTTCTGATTGTGGACAATAAATTAAGGTTCAAGGAACATATAACTGCCAAATTAAGACTAGCTTATTCTTGGTCAAAGGCTATTTACCCACAAAGACATTTTTTAGATGTCAACATTAAACGACCTTTGTGTGATTCAATGGTACTTTCCCATTTTGATCACTGTGATACGGTTTACGGTCCTTGTATAGATACTAGTGATAAAAATCGAATCCAAAAAATTGAAAATTCCTGTATTCGACTCATATATGGTATCAGACGTGGTCAGAGGGTTTCATATTAACTTAAAAACTTAAAATGGCTAAACATGCACAATCGCCGCACTCTACATTTAGGTTGTTTTCTTTTTAAAATTCTAAAATTCAAAACACCTTCTTATTTACGAGCCCCGTCCAGCTTCAGTTGGCCCACCTGATTAAATATCAGTTATTGCCGTGTATCGAAGGTCATTTGAGTTATAGAGGTAAAATTGTCCACTTTTATTTTTAAAGTAACATTTTAAAAACATTTTGCATAAAAAATAAAATAGTTACAACAACTGGAAATGATTAGGACTTAAAAACTAGAAATAAGGAAATTTATGATTTTTTAAACTCTAAGATATCTTATTCTGCCACTGAGTAACGTCCCCTTTATTTTTAATAACTGCTTCAATTCTTCTCGGCATAGTATTTACTAAATCCTGACACTGCGCTGGAGTGAAATTATCCCAAATATTCTGGAGCCTGTGCTTGAGTTCAGGAACAGTTCTGGCAGGATTGGCTCTTAACCGCTTTTTCATTTCATGCCACAAAGTCTCGATAGGCGAAAGGTCCGGACTAGAGGAAACCCATTTTAGGAGTGGTATTTCATGATCTGAAAGCCATTTCATGGATTTTTTGGACGTGTGACAGGCAGCACCGTCTTGCTGAAAGGTGAAGTCATTTCCAGAAATCCTACTCTCTTCCAAAGTAGGCAACAAAGAGTCCTCTAGAATGTCAAAATATTTTTCTGTGTTTACAATTCCGTTGATAAAGTTTCATTTTCCAACCCTTCTAGACGACATTGAACCCCAGACCATTACCGAAGATGGAAATTTAACTTTGCGCTTAAGACAATCAGTATGATAAGTTTCATGTTTGTGGCGGATAACTCTGCTCCGGCTATCACCGACACACACTTCAAATCGCAATTCGTCACTCCAATGTATAATATTCCACCTCTCCATATCCCAATTTCGATGATCTTTAGCCCATTTCAACCTGTCTCGCTTCTGTTTTGGAGTCAGTAACGGTTTTTCTTTTGAACCTTTAGATTGAACTCAGAAAACTTACCTTGTATGTACCAAATCCTAGTTTTCTGGCTTCTGCATGACATGTAGACCTACAAACACGTCTTCCAACGGCCTCACTCCAGAGTACACTCAACTCTCCGTAGTTAGCACGCCTATTAGACTTAATAATTCTGGCTAAAGCTCGTCTATCAGTCTGTTAATTTGGACTTTTTCACATATCGGGCCTTTTGGGCACCTGAACCGTTTGATTTGTACAATTGAACAATATTTCGAACACTGTATCTGGATAAGCCGAGTAATATTCCAATTTCGCCATTTGATTTTTCAGATTTGTGTAAATTAATGATAATTGATCGAATATTTTCATCAATTGCCTTTCCTCTCCCCATTATTGACAACAAATAGGACTATTAAGTAATTGTTTTACAATCGGAACTTATGTCACTGTCATTTCCGTCAAAAAAGTGTTGTTTTCATAGCCACCTTAACCCTCGTCGTTAGCAATACTTGGGTAATAGAATCATAGAGTTAACAAATTTATCAACTCTATTAATAGAATGAACGCAAGGATACTACTTTTTTAACCATGTATTTTTTGTGAGACAGCACTATACATTGAACTCAGATATCTTCTATATTCCCGTAAATAGTATATTTTGTATTAAATATTACATTGTTTTATTCTTGAGCGAAAAAATCCAAAAATATTACTAATTTTATGTGTGGGCCAACTGAAGCTGGACGGGGCTCGTACATCAAAAAATTAAATTTCGAACCAATGTACACAATATCAACATAAGACGCAAAAATAAGCTTACCATACCTTTACATCGTAAACAAATTTTCAAACGAACATATTCCTATACTGTCGCTAAAGTTATTAATATTTTACTTGAATGCAACCTATTTCATGTTTCTGTTACACCCTACACATTCAAAACAAATTATAAAAATACCTTCTTGCATTAAATTAATTAATTTCGCTCATTTGTTTAGTTATTTACTTTTTCTTTTTGTTTCCTATAAAAACTTTATAAACTATATGTATATAAATACTACACTAATATTGTGAAGGTTAATAATAAATTGTTTTTTTTTTTTGATTGTATGTATAACGATCTCTATAATACTGTTCAGATATTTTTTGTTAATTTTACTTCGTTTTCTTCTCGATGTTTTTGCTCTTGTAGCATTTTCCACCTATTAAAGACTTATAAATTAATAAGCTCTATAGTACATGTGCTTTTATGTACATGCTATTTCTTTATTTTTATTTTTATTTTTCTGGCTTTAGCAAAAGAACAGACAGTACGGTCCTCGTGACCTTGCTGAACTGAGCTAAATTGCAATTTACTCTGTACTTTTTTTTGTAATATTATTAAAATTGTAATTATTTTGTATGTATTAAGTAATATTTGTTTGAATACTGACTCTTCTAAATTAACATTTAAAATATGACAATTTGTCAACGTTTTTCCTTCAAGCAGTTGGAGAGTAATTATCTCTGCGGATAAAATTTTATTGACAATATTAGATGTTCTCAAGGGATGGACATTATCAAGGGATGGACATTATTCTCTTTCAAACTGTGTATCTTGATGATTTCGTGCCAAAAAGAGGAAAATGTATTACAAAAATTAACTTATATTCTGAAATTGATACTTGCGTTCCTAAGAAGTGAGAATATGTTAAAATATTTGTATATTTCGGAATTTGGTCAACATTATATATTTTATGTAAATATTTTATCACGTTTTTTATGTCTGAGCTAGAAATTATGATGGAATTATGTAAAGTATTAAATTTTGCAATGGCTATGGCATTTACTAAATTATCTATAAAAGAAATTGACATTTGACAATTTAAATCAATTTGTGATATAATGGCCTGAAAACTATTATAACTTTCAATTGTATCGATTCTATTATAAGTAGCTGCTTGATTTTTTCCATATCAATATAAATGTTTCTTGATTTTTACCTAGGATTGTGATTGTTTTATTATAATGATTAACAGACCTTTTATACAATGAAATTTGAAAATTTGTTTCACTGATAATATTTTTTTTTAATGTTTTGATAGCACTGTTATATCTTTTTTCATAATCAAAATCAACATTTCCACATAGCCATTTGTTAATATTTCCAATTGCATTTATTAAAGCTCTTTTATGTCTCACATGAGGAATTAAATTATTTATCTTCTTCTGAAAAATAATTATATCAAGTTTAAGTTAAACCTAAAACGCCATCAAAAAATTCAAGGAAGTCATACAGAATTAAGTCTATGTATTTATTATTAGAATTAAATCCAGCAATGCTGGCACTAAAGCTTGATAATGAATCTGTTTACTTCCCATACTTATGGATAAGATAAGTTTTGAATGGTAAATTGTTTGTGGAAATTTTTCTCTTGAAGTTTTAATTATGGACCTAAAACTTCCTGTATCTATTAACAATTTTAGAATATTTTAGCGTATTTCGATACAAGGTAATGAATTATTTAAAATATTGTTCAATTCTAGTACCTTTTTCTTATCAATGAGGTCGGATCTGAACATTTTGGTCAATTAACTGATTCATTTTCAAACTTAATTTGATGATAATTTTCAAAATTATAATAAGAATTATCGTGTAGGTTTACTTGACAGATTAACAAACAATAACCCTATAGTTTAATCAGCAAGTAGTTACTTACAACTTTATTTAGAGGTGAAAAATTAGCCCTTAGTATCATTGCAAAAATTGAAATGTAATTCTTCAAAAGTAAAATTTGGTCTTAAATTATAATTTTGTAAATTTCAATAAAATTATCTGTTTGATTGGAAAGAAGAGTTTCTTAATGTCGTTGACATCGGTTCTAGTTTAGACAATTGGCTTTCTGGAAAAAGTTAATATTCGGCAACAGCGAACTCGATTAAATTTTTTCACGACTCGCGTGCATCCAGTTATAAATCCCAAAATGAAACTTTTATTTTTAAAATTTTATTGTTATAAATACACTTAAATTGGAAATCAAGACAACTCTGGATTAAAGCCTACAAACAAGCAATCTCAGAAAGTAACAATAATAAGGTTCTACTCTATAAACAAAAAATGATTATTTAGCAAAGATATTCTAATTATAACATCAGTTATATTCACATTCAGTTATATTCACAATTCGCTGTATTCGTTTTTTAGAACTTCGATGCAGTGCGATTCAGATTCAAAACTTGAACTCGTGCAATAAAGCCTTATGATTATTATACTTTTTCTACTTGAGAGCATAATTAATTGTCCACCCACTTTTTTTACAAATTACATTTTCTACATGGTTTGAAAATGACTCATAAAAGAGATAGAGCTGAAAAAATTGCAGTTTTTTTTTAAAGAAATGTTAATTTTAGACTATTTAAATTAGAGAATATATGTATAAGTATAACCACTCAGCAACAAAAGTGATTTTTCTGAGTATGATTTGAAAATTCAAAAAATAAAGGTAAACATATAAAAATACATATTTGAAACGTTCTTATTTCTTTTTTCAGGTGATAGTACACATATTTTCGACTCAAAATATTCAAAAATCCCTCAGGTTTGAACCAGACAAAAAAATCGAACTATGGAGATTTTTCACGTATATGCTAGTCCACGACGATTGGTACCATCTTATGCTAAACGTTGTGATCCAATGTATATTTGCGGTACTTCTTGAAAAGCGGCAGGGACATCTCAGGGTGCTTATTCTATATTTCCTAGGAGGATTTACAGGAGTCCTAGGAGCTGCTTGTGTTCATCCTGATCTTGTGATAGGGGCATCGGCTGGTGTCTATGCCCTCTTGATATCGAACGTTTCTGATATTATTTTAGTAAGTAAACACAATCATAATTAAATTACGTAATATTAATGATATATATGTTATTGTTTTGTGAGGTAAGTATTGCTTTGCTATACAAATTATCCAGCGTGTAACAAAAAGGTAGGTCATAAAGTTTACACCAGATATTCAAATATAGGTTTATTGCCAATCAAACCCGCCTGGTAACAACAAGATACTTGATAAAGATAATTTCATTTTCTTTAACTGTCATCACATTTCATTGTTGCAACCTTTGAGACTTCTGTACCTATATCTGACTGTAAGGTAGGAAGGTGTAGGTTTTGGTATATTAGTTAGACATCTCGCTATAATAATAAAAAATTATTTAGAATTCAAAAAAAGTATAATAATAAAATATATTGACAGTCTTTTTTGTCAGTACTTGTCGTCTATTTTTTTTTTTCATTTCTTTTTCGTTTCCATAAAAACTCCGTGACCACAGTCGTCAAGGCTCGACCAATCAGGGCACACCTCAAAAGGGCTAACCTCAGTTACGACATCGACGCTTGACCAACCTCAAATACAAACGACTTAAAAATTTTAAAATGAAATGACAAAACTAAAAAACTATGCAAGTGGTCAGATATCTATCGAGAAATAATGGTCCGCCATTAATTACTTGTGGTGGAATTGTAAGAAAAGTGTTGTACAATATTTTTTGATAGAACTCTACGAACTTTTTACTTGAAAGTAGCTTTGTTAGAGGAAGCTAAACTAAAAGTGAACTAGCGTAATGTTTTGTGAACATCTGTGTCGAATAAGTCATATTTTTGATGTAACTATTGTTATAATTTAGATTGTGAAGCAAGCAGCATGCCATGCCAGAATATGTAGGGTCGGCGTAAATTACAAAACCATTTTGTTTTTATACATTGTAGGAGATTGCATGATTACAGAGTTAGATATTATTTGTACAACATATACAGGGATAAGCAAAATAAATGTATTTTAAATAATCGGTTAAAATGATTTTGTATTTTTTACAAGCAGTAAAAAATATACTTTCAATGCGTTAAATTATGTGAATACTGATTTTATGTCTCTACCTGAGAAAATGTTTAATTTTGTTATTTTATATGTTTCTTTGGGTAGCCAAATAAGTGGCTTTGTATTAATTTATTATGTTTTTTTTTAGAATTATACAACTGTAAACTACAAAATCTACAGAGCAACTTCTATAGGAATTTTAGTACTTTTTGATATAATATACAACATAGTTCACGTGTACTTGAAGAAACAACCACTCATATCATGGGAGGCGCACTTCGTGGGAGGAGTAGCGGGCCTACTTCTTGGTCTTACGATTTACAAAGGCAGCGACAAATACCAAGCAACCGCCAACAGAACGTTATTTTGGATAAGTGTGATAGCTTATGCTGTTATTGTTATTTGCTGCGTAATTTTAACTTTACAAATTCAAAAATGCACACCTCCATTACATTATAAATACGTGTACTTTTGTTAAGAGTGTCAATTCTATTTTAAATTAATGTAAATAAGACTGAAAAAGAATGCAATTTTTATCAGAGCTTTTTCTAAAATACCCATTTTGATCTTTGATTTGTTATTTGATAAAAAATTGTTATAACCCAATTTATAAGAAACTTTTAGTATATGAACTAAAAGTGTAGTTCTTATAAATAATTCACAGTGTCTAGGTACACGCTAACTTGTACGCAATTCAAAAAGTTATATACACGCTAAACGTCTTGACAGAGTAGGTGAGCTGTGTCTAGGCCGTTGGTGTTTATGCCGGTCGGCGTAGCTAGGTATGGATTGAAATTTTCTGGTGGCGGCGAAACCGCCACCCTACGAGAAGTCGTTGCTTAGTTTTCTTGTTTTCACGACATTATTATTATTTGTTCATGTATGTGAAATTTGCTTCTAAGGTTTATAAAATACTACTGCTAGTCACGGCGTAAATGAAAACAAACAAGACGCATTCACACAGATATCTCCCACCACAGCAATATGACGTTTCGCGTGTATTTAATTTTTTGATTTGTGTACCTAGCAACAGCGTAAATATTTATATATTTGATAATTTTTTCTAGCAAAAAGTTATAAAAATAATTTTAAAAAATATGGATTAGTAAGAATTTGCGTCTTCTAGTCGTATTTTACTGGAATTCTTAATATTTGTTAATTATCTACTACATAGTTCTATATCTATTAATTAAACAAAAATTTGTTTTTATTTTAATGTTTTAAATAATGCAAAATCAAAATAAAAATATAAAATTAAGATATATGCATATATTTTAGAAATATTTGGTTCTGCATTGGAATTTAAAAGTACTCTTCGTTTTTATTTTCCCCTTACGTATACTATCAAATATTTCTTATTCCTAATTAATTATTTCTAAACTTGTAAACATATTTTTTTTCGATTTGTGAACAACTTTTTGAAAGGCATTGTATATACTATCTTTATCTTCAATCATAATGACTTAATCATCAGCAAAATGCATTGTGAACAGCTGGTATGGCCATTTTGAGATCTAAAAATAAGTATTGACCAAAACAGTAGCAGACCAGCATTATGTTAATATACACTGCTCAATAATTGAACTGAATTAGTGGTTTATACAACAAGAGTGGATATGATAGCCATATCGCACGAAGACGAAATTTGAGAAGACCATCTATTTTTTTAATTTTGTTGCTTTAATTAAATTGACTTCATATAGTTTTAATTAAATTAACAAATTATTTATAATTATAGACGAAATAAAAACAGAAATGCTATTATTTATCGATCCTACACAAGAATAACCCATTTTAATGTATGTTTAATCTCAATAACTAAAAAATATACTTACAATTAGTTCGACAGAATTGTCACTTATTTAAAATTTTAAAAATAATAGCAGATTGTGATTGGTGGATTTCATTTTTTTACAGTGTTCTCACTACCTAGAATGGATATGAAATATATTCGTTCAGTTGAAGGCAATAACATACTTTTTCGTTTTGTGATCTGTGCGTAGATAAGCTAATATCCATGTGGGTGTAGAAAAAATTATACAATCGTCTCGAAATTTGAATTTAAGCTTAAAGAGGCTCTGCTATACCCATTTTTTTTGTAACCATGTTGAATATTTTTTAATTAAAGAATTTTATGTTTTTCCATTTCTACCTTACTCATATTTCTCCACTGAAAGTCGGTTTCATTTTTTTTCTTTACATGGTCACTTCATATAACATTAATGAATAAACTTAGATTAAATTTTCTTGCCATTTTTTATTTCATACACCTATTTACACTGAAAATTCAGAATACATTGAAATATCCACTTAAAAATCTGAGCAGTGTTAGTAAAACAAAGGCTCTAGCTTCAGTGGTTTAATGTTTATTTATTTTAGATAGTTCATGTTATGCTGATTGATGTTAATGATAATGTTTATATAATATATTATACATTTGATCAATATTTGTAGACATTTTACATTTTCATCTGTTATCGAAATAGTTTTGATGCTTTATTTAAGATGTTTATCGACTATATTGAGTAATTTGAGTTATTTCTCATATAAGTACAATAATTTGATCAAAAAATTAGAAAAGGCTGAACATTCTCTTGCATGAGTTGTACAATGGGTATATACAGTGCGCAAGTAAAAGGTTGTACAAATTTGATAAAATGTTTATTCGTCAAACAAACATTTAATTCTCGAATCATGTTTTTTAGATGGGCATGTTTTGGTATACGTATATTTTTTATGTCGTCATCATATTTCGAAATATAATGCATCACCAATTTTTAAAATAGCACCACCAATTTTTAAAATGGCACCACCATTTTTTAACTAACTTTTTTGCGCATCGACTTCATTTTTTTTGTATGTTGCAGCACAATATTTTCGAGATAAAAAAAATTGTAATGGATACTTGACAACGTTTCCCAAGAATTTTAAAATCGACTAGCATATTATCAAGGGAAGAAAAACTTCTAAGTTTATTTCATTACATTTTTTTATTCTAAAACTTTTTATTTTGATAATATTGTTGAGTAACAGACAACAAGCAAAATACTCTTTTAAATGGTACTATCAAAAAATAGCAGTAATGATTGAATGCTACATATTTTCCTTTTATTATGATTGTAAAAGTGTAAATATATTTTATTGCCAGATCATATAAAAATTAAAATGATACAGACTTTGAATTACATGTAGCTTATTAATATTTTGTGTTATAAATGTAACTTAAAATTGACGTAGATAGTTTTATACTAAAAATAGTATTTATAAATCCATTTTACAATGTGAAATAAAATAATTTAATTGTGTTCCCAATATTTACAAACAATACATATTATAAGTTAAAGGTTATGTTATAATTACCGTGTTTTATTTATCCCTATTTTTCATTTTACTGAGGCCCTTCCTATGAGGCCTCAGTATTGCATTCGTGCAGATGAAAAAATTTTCTTACCCCCATTTTTTAAAACTTTTTTCAATGCAAAAAAATTTTTTCGTCTGGTCGTTTGTGTGTATGTATGCCGGCACGATAACTCTAGAACGAAAGTTCTGATAGACGTTTTGATTTTCCTAAATAATTACTTCTAACTTAGAACCCTATTGATTTTCAGAATTTTCGGTTCATCCTAACTACTTTAATATCAATTTTCTTAAAATCCGCATATGCATTTCTTATGTGACAATTTTAGGAATTCCAATTATTTCTAACATTCTTAAAATTCCATAAATTGCAAACATTCTCTAACGACCTGTCAAACAACAGCTGTTGATAGTAAAGGTAAAATTTCTAAGGCTATTTGTATTCGAAATTAGTAGCCAAGCCTGCCAATTTATGAAAAATATATAAGCAATTTCTTAAAAATTACTTATTTAGGTGGTGCTAACTTAAGCTCTCTGTCGCAACCTCATAGAATAATTAACCGGCCATTTTATTTGGCAAAAATCAGAATAATGCTTGGCTGTGCCTGTCAAGTATCAAGATGTCAACTGTGATGTGTGAATGGCTCTTAAATGCCAAATTATTTAAAAATGTATTAAGCATTCCAACGACCTGTCAAAATACTGACAAATGGGAACTGACGTTTAGATATGGCAACCCTGTGGCCTGCTTTTATTGACAGGGTCAATGATACATATATAGTTGTATAGATTGCTAAAAGCGAGTCCTTTTTTCAGCGACCATATTACCTTCCAAGTGCTGATTAATCAGAATCAGTTTAGCAAAAATGCGTTTTAAAAGCAATTTTCAGTCTTTGAATATATTAAAAAAATAATTACCTACATTTTACTTCAAGGCATAAACGTATGTTTATTTTGAAAAACATGGATTATTAATCTATATAACTATCTATTTCATTGACCCTGTCAAATCACTAGGCTTACAGGGTTGCCATAATGTTACCGTATTATAACCTGTCAAAACCCACTGGTAGCCATTTTGTTTGGAATGCCTAATACTTCTTTTGATATTTATGGCAAATAATTTGTAGTGTATCTCAATTCAGGCTTTCCATAAATAAAGGTACAGCAAGACAGATAATATATTGTTCTTATACAAAGCACTTTTTTATTATATAAAAGAGAGGTAGGATATAATGCTGGTTTTTTTTGTAGAAAATTTTTATTATACGATTTTGGATTACATATTTAAGCAGCGAATTGTAAATAATAATTTAGTAAACTTCTGTCATAAATTTCCACAATAAATAAAATTTAAAAATGTATCTTCTTATTTTGGTACCGAGGTATTTTGTTGTGTTTTTTATTTTAATTATAAAGTTGTCATTTATTTGTAAGTTGAAAGAAGGCCGCAAAACTATTAATAATTTAAACATAGTAAGTAGTATTAATATAACATCAAGTAATTTTTTAAAATAAAGTACATGATCTCAAAACAAAAATAATTTATAATAAATGCGGGTAAAACGAGGGGTAAAATAACAATAAATTAAGCGAAATACTTAAAAAGGGCAGGTTTAAAGAGTATTATCACAAGATGATATATCCGTTCTGTTTATTTATCAAGTATTGTTTGAGGTTACTTTTAAATACATTTATTGTTGTTTTTTTTTTTTAATTTCTGTAGGCAGTCTATTAAATTTTAAACCTTTAATAAAAATTGTATTTTGGGAACTTTTAGTGATGGCTTGCCGTACATGAAAGTCAGATTGGCTTCTTGTATTATAGTTGTGATATTGCGAATTATATTGAATTTTTTTCTAATAGATCTGATACGATGGCACTATGTCATTTTTATTTTATAAATAAATATCAGTCATGTAGGTACTGAACATAATTCTGATTTGAAAGCCAATTTATTTCTTTTAACATAGTTGCAATACTCATCCTTCTGTTCTTTATTAATATTATATAAATATGCGAAATAAGGAGTCCAAATATTTTACATGAGCAGGCTTAAGAGGTAAAGGGGCCAATTATTATTGGATAAATTGTTCAAACAAGTTTGTAAACCTTAATCAAAAGGCAATATAGAATAGTTTTAAAAATCAAGGCGTGTAAAAATCATCACATGGTTTAACCTAATTAATGACAATGCTTCACAAACCAACAAATTCAACATCCTAATACTACTATCGGTTTTCGGTCTTTCGTTCCAAGTTAAATCATTTCCCTTTTTTGTTACGCTACGAGTTTACCCTTGTGGGCCTCAGTCTCGATAAGGTGAGAACCACCATTTTTGCGTCTCTCGAATTTTTATAGCAATAATATTTAGAATAGGGCTCAGACTGTGGAGGTCATATTCCAACGCTGTTAAGTTGATACCTACTTTTCTGTGTTCTTCAAAATCAACGGGAGAGTACCTCCAGGCTCAGCTTTGGACTCAAAGTATTTTATTTCATATTAACAGCATACTTTTAACTACTTCTAACCTTGTCCATAGATTTCTACAGAAAATGTTATATTAGACGAACTAAACTACAAAATTTACTTACAATAACTATAAACTAGACTAAAAATATGTATGTAACTTCATAGTAAATACTATACTCTGTTTTTAAACTAAGAGGAGCGATTTGAATTTAAGTTGGCAATTCTGTAGCCTTCTGATTGGTCAGATTACAGTCAGTTTCACACATTACTTTTTAGCATGAACATCAGCTAATAATTGATATTGTTGACAGTTCTGACATTTTATAATTTGATATCTTATCCATTACTTAGTTTTTAAGCCTTGGTTTCTTTGAACACGTCGCGGTGAGCGGACAGTCCGTCAACCGTCGCGTTTTGACGATTTTATCCAACCAGAGTATTTAAATGGGAATGGTTTTCTTGAATCCGCTTAGCTGAACAGGACGGCGTCATGCCGCTGATTTGTCGCGAAGAGTCGGTTGATATCGGTTGAGTTTGATATCAGCGGAATCGTCGGCGTGTGCGGAGACTATATTGTTATTAATTTTAAAACAATGAGTGACAAATTTACACATACAGATGACATCATGACTTTATTTTTAGGTTTCTTGGAAATTATGTCCTTTATAAAACTCAACACGAATTCAAAAAGATCTGTAGAAAGTCTAAAATACTCTCTAAATTTGGTTTCATTTCCAAAAAGCCTCCGCTGCACAGTGATATTAAAGGCACCTTCTGTATCGCGACACAAAAACAACTCATCCACTGGCTTATTGGAAACTTTGACGGTTGCAATTGCCAGTTCCTTTTGTTTTTTCTCTTCCAACAATAATAACAACGCAAACAATTTATTTGCATCCATTTTTAGTACCTTTCGTTTACATTCATAATACATAAACAGCACGTACAGACATAGAGAAAGATAATTTTCTATATTTTTTAACAAACCACATCGGGCGAAAATTGCTGTCCTCAGCGGTCGACGGACTGTCCGCTCACTGCGACGGAGTGTTCAAAGAAACCAAGGCTTTACTTTATTTCGTAAATAATAGTTCTTCAGTAAGCAATTGTATTGAAAATCTACAATTATGGATCCTTCTACAATGAGTACTATTAAAGGTAGCAATTCCTAAAAAGCCTTACAAGAAAGGGAAGACACCTTATTATTTAACATGCTGATTCTGAAGGTTTTGTAGAAAATGCATTATTGGTTTTTGAAGGTAAAGAGATGGGAGATGAATTCCGAAGTATTTTAGAAAAAAATAATTTTATTACTGATTTTTTAAAACTAAAAATTGATGAATTTATAACCAAAATGATTAAAATGTAACTAAATATTCAAGCAAATTTTATTTATTAGAATAGAATAAAACTATTTACAAAATTGTTATAACATTTAAAACACCATCTACTACTTTAGGGATAATCTTAATTTGGCACAATGAGTTAACATTATTTTCACAAAAAATATTTTAAAAATACTTAAAATTAATACATAGGTATGTATGAATAGTTCACTTTAAAAAATATATGTTGACATGTAGTGTTATGAAAATGTTGGTTCCAGTTTTCAAAACAAATTCTGACTCATAGGCCTGTAAACTTTTGAATGCCTTTATTTGCCCTCTAGCGCATTAACCATGGGTTAACACTAAATAAGCCATATTATCCACATTACTCATAGAAGAGATACCAGTTACTGTGTGATCCACTTGTCATTCACTGATTAACTTTTACTTTTTATACCTATAACAAATATATCCTTAAAAATGTAAACAGATCTTTATATTTTATACTAACCTGGCTACATCTGGATATTCCATTAACAATTTTCTTAAATATTTATTATCCATTTTAAAAAGATCATAGTTATTCTCAAAAAGTCGATTTCAAAAGCAAGAAAAAAGTATTTCTGACATCAATCAACAACCATATTGACTTTAATTTGACAGTGCCATTTCGTTTTAGACACACATTTCAGATTACAATAATGTGAAATTTGCGACCGTTGTCTGGGACCAATTAAAAAATTACTTCTATGACATTTATTCGTTTCTTAACCGCTCATTGGCCGTTCACAGACTAAGGCCGATAAAGATAATTATTTCTTAAATTTTGAACACGACTATATTTCGAAACTCGCTCTTAGTAACAAATCTAGTTACTTTTCCCTGTGTAAATTCGTGTTTTCAATTCGCTCCTCCTATACTCTGTTTTTAAACTAGGAGGAGCGAATTGAAAAGACATATTTACACAGGGAAAAGTAACTAGATTTGTTACTAAGAGCGAGTTTCGAAATATAGTCGTGTTCAAAATTTATGAAATAGTTATCTTTATCGGCCTTAGTCGGTGAACGGCCAATGAGCGGTTAAGAAACGAATAAATGTCATAGACGTAATTTTTTTATTGGTTCGAGATGACACTGTCAAATAAAATTCAATATGGTTGTTGATTGATGTCAGAAATACTTTTTCTTGCTTTTGTAATCGACTTTTTGAGAATAACTATGATCTTTTTAAAATGGATATTAAATATTTAAGAAAATTGTTAGTAGAATATCCAGATGTAGCCAGGTTAGTATAAAATATAAAAATCTGGTCTGTTTACATTTTTAAGGATATATTTGTTATAGGTTTAAAAAGTAAAAGTTAATCAGTGAATGACAAGTGGATCACACAGTAACTGGTATCTCTCCTATGAGTAATGTGGATATTATGGCTTATTTAGTGTTAACCCATGGTTAATACGCTAAAGGGCAAATAAAGGCATTCAAAAGTTTACAGGCCTATGAGTCAGAATTAGTTTTAAAAACTGGAACCAACATTTTCATAACATTACATGTCAACATATATTTTTTAATTTAAAGTGAACTATTCATACAAACCTATGTATTAATTTTAAGTATTTTTAAAATATTTTTGTGAAAGTAAAGTGTCATTGTGCTAAATTAAGATTATCCCTAAAGTAGTAGATGGTGTTTTAAATGTTATAACAATTTTGTAAGTGGTTTTATTATATTCTAATAAATAAAATTAACTTGAATATTTAGTTACATTTTAATCATTTTGGTTAGAAATTCATCAATTTTTAGTTTTAAAAAGTCACTAATAAAGTAATTAGTTTTTTCTAAAATACTTCGGAATTCATCTCTTCATAGTAATCTATCTTTTTACCTTCAAAAACCAATAATGCATTTTCTACAAAACCTTCTTCAGAATCAGCATGTAAAATAATAAGGTGTCTTCCCTTTCTTGTAGGGCTTTTCTGGAATTGCTATCCTTAATAGTACTCATGTAGAAGGATCCATAATTATTGTAGATTTTCAATACAATTGCTTACTGAAGAACTATTATTTACTAAATAAAGTAAAAAACTGTAATGATGAGATATCAAATTATAAAATGTCAGAACTGTCAACAATATCAATTATTAGCTGATTTTCATGATGAAAAGTAATGTGGGAAACTGACTGCAATCTGACCAATCAGAAGTCTACAGAATTGCCAACTTAAGTTCAAATCGCTCCTCTTAGTTTAAAAACAGAGTATAGTTTAAAAACAGAGATTTTAACTCGAACAACAAAAATAAATGTCACCACCACAGCAATTTTATATTTAAAAAAATAGGTATCTATAACAATCAATCGCAATTAACATCTATAAAATTCAACAGTGAATAGTCGAGAGAGGAATTATCTTTTGGCACATATTAATTTTCAATTAATGGTAAGAAAAATGTCACTCCCTGCAGACTTTGACCCAGCAACTTTTCCATTACGGGTTTAGGACTCTAAGTTGATCTAACCACTACAAATCACCCGCCAATAATTCTTTGATCTAAAAGTTTCTCCCTGTAGATTTTAAGGTATAGCCGACCAATGCGTGAAATCGATTTCAATTAGCAGCAGGACCAACTCTAAGTTGATCTAACCACTACAAATCACCCGCCAATAATTCTTTGATCTAAAAGTTTCTCCCGTAGATTTTAAGGTATAGCCGACCAATGCGTGAAATCGATTTCAATTAGCAGCAGGACCAACGAAACCCGCATATCGTGAAGTAACAAGTTGCTATGGAAATAAACAATTAAGGCAAACGCTAGTAACACTACTGCAATCTGTCGTTCGGATAGTTTTGTCAGTAGTGTTAAATTTTCAATTTGTATTTCAAACATTCAAAACAATGTCTAACTTAGATTTAATTTCAGACCATTCCAAAGAAAAATTAGTCACAGTGCCAAGAAATGTGTTAGATATGGTCAATTTGAAAATGTTGTTTTTAGAAGGAAATTTTTTAACTAAGCTGCCAGATGATATTTTTTGGAAATTGCCGAGGTTGATGTGGTTAGATTTGAGGAATAATTTGCTGGAGTCGGTGCCTACTAGTATAGGATTTCACGAAAAATTAGAAAATTTGTTACTTAGTAATAATAGCCTGGAGAGGCTTCCCAATGAACTTGGTAAGGAACTATTAACAATTTATTATTTTTCTTCGTTATTTTTTTTAATATAATTTCTTAATGCTTGAACATTTAGCTTAAAAATACTACTTAACTATTATTTGGTGAATAATAAGTTCTTTGTAATATAATTTCTTAATACTTGAACATTTTCGTTTAAAAATACTACTGAACACTTATTTGGTGGATAATAAGTACTTTTGTAACGGAAAACCCAAACAGTTCAATTTTTATATTTGGAGAGGAAACCGGTAATATTTTATTTTTAATATCCTCAGTTGTTATGAGAAATACACCGCGATCCGTTATTTTCTTCAATATTCTAGGGATAAGTTTGGTAAACTCTTGTTAATTAATAACACCACATACAAGTCCAGATGAGTCAGATCTGGATTACTTGTCGACTATTCTATATGGCATCTGCTCTGTTTTTACAATTTTTGGGAAATATTTGCATTACCATATAGATCCACAAATAATAGGCATAAGGTACATAGTTACTACCATTGGAAATACAACTTCGCTAGTCTTTCTTGAAACACGTCAGAATTTTAATTTTCATTAAAATTATTGTTATAGGAGTGTCCATTTAAAAATTTACAATGGGCATCTAAACAAAAATTGCTTATGAATTATTGCTCTGGGCACTTCAGAGGAAATTCACGGCACAATTCTCCTCTAATTATCCCACCCCAAAATATAGTTCGCAAAGGATCAACGTAACTTTTAATAGTTCCTGATGGGATAACGTCAATAATAGAAATATACAGGGTGTTTGGTAAAGATGCGGTAAAAGAGGTTATTCCTTGGATTATTCCAAGAATATTTTGTTATTTGATGATTTGTGAAAACCCGCTTTATTTTAAAGATACAGGGTATATTTGAAAGAGTTCAGCAATCAATGATGAGAAGATTGAATGCTTGTATTCAAGCTGGAGGAAGTCATTTTTAACACATGTATTTGTTGATAATAAGATGTCGTTACTGTCGAAATTTTGTTCACCTTGTATATTCGAAACAAAGCGGGTTTTCACAAATCATCAAATAACAAAACATTCTTAGAATAGTCCAAGTAATGGTCCTTGCATATTTGCCGCTTGTGTACCAAACACCCTGTACGCAGTTTAATTTGAAGAATAGTTTGATTTTTCGTTAAATTTCTGTTTATATCACCTTCGAAAGTATTCCATTTAAGTCGGGATAAGCCGCTCGATAAATTGTTATTTATTTAATTAAAATTTGTTAAAGATTTGTTTAGTTCTTTGTTTTTTATAAATAGTCGGCAAAATGTTTTACCAAAAATACAGACATCAAAAATCTTGCGCAAATCATGTTTTTTGAAGGTGAAAATCCATCGATGTCGAAATTTTAAACACCAATATTTTTTCTCAATATTACCTATTTATTTCTATAAAAGTTAATTTATTTTAAATTGAAGGTGAGTTTATATTATTAACCAAGTTTAATAATATGTGAATATTGGAAAGGAAAGTAAAAATGTTAATTAAATATAGATTGCATGTAACAAAAATAACGAACTAACAAAATTATCAACAAAACAATAAAATTATAAGTAATTATGAATTGTCTAAAATTACATTTTTCTTTAAAAGAGACTGTTTAGAAATATAATATTTTTATCTAAATTAAATATGGTCTGACAGTGTCCAAAACTTAAAAAGGCTAAACCAGTTTCCTACAAGTAGATTGTTTCGTTTATAAGTTGGAAACACCATAAAGGTCTGTTAATTATTGATATACCCTGTATATTGTTTATCAGAGCTGGGCAAAGTCCTAAGTGAAAGGGCTTGAAGTACTAATCCATAAGCCCATTTTCAAAGTGTTTTCATTTTCAAGCACAAATTCCTTTTTAATTTCGAAAGTGCTTCTCAAGCATAAAGCCCTCAAAGTGCTTTGTGTTTGGCAATCCAAAGCTTTTCAAAGTGATTTGAATATGCTTGAAACATATCAAAAGTGCTTGGGGTGCCTTCAGAAGTGTTTAAAACACTTCGAAAGTGCTTGAAGCACCTCGAAAATTATTTAAATGTGCCTAAAGCCCTTTGATTGTGTAATAAAATTCTCAAAGTGTCATAAATCTACCACGTACTTCAATTATCAGCTTAATGCTGTATAATACATATAAAAATATTAAAATAACAAACTACTTATTGATATTTATTATTCGCGAATTTAATATCCGGCTTTATCTGACATTTATTTATATTGGTGACAGTTGTTTACCCCGTAATCACAGCAACAATATATTTACTTGATTATTCTGAGAAAACCGCGCGCTTGGTAATTTGTCGTTAAATGTAATATTTTAGGTATGTTCAGAACGAAACAGAGATTTATTAACTTTGATCGAAATCTGATGGTTGTAAATAAAATAGTATACAAACCTCGGTAGGAAGTTTCATTCCTGTCTCGAGATCATAGCTAACCTCGACGCTTCGCGTCTCGGTGATCTAACTAATCTCACGACAGGAATGAAACTCTTCCCACTTCGGTGTGTAATATATTATTTAAATTTTTTATAAATCATAGTAATTCAGAAATAATAGTAAATTATGTCCAAAAACGGTGTAATTTATGTTTTTACAGTACAAGTTATAGGAACTTAAACTAATTCTTTGGATAAAACTCAATCCGACGTTTACATGGGGTTGAAAATCACGTTCAAAGACTCATTTACATAGATACATGCATACCAAGCTACTAAAAAAGCATTTTAAAAAGACAGAAATTTACTTAATTGAATACACTTGCATGAAAAAGCTACAAGCCATTTCAAAGTGCTCCAAGCTATTTTAAAGTGTTATAGCTCTTAAAAGTGCTTCCGGCATTTTCGAAGTGCTTAATGCTCTTTTAAAGTGCTTCAAGTCCTTTTAAATTGTCTAAAGCTCCCAAAAGTGCTTGATCGCCTTTGAAAGTACTTGAAGCTCACTGAAAGGACTTAAATTACTTTTTAACCGACTTCAAAAAAGGAGGAGGTTATCAATTCGTCGCGATATTTTTTTTTTTAAATATATGTTCAGCGATTATTCTTTAACACAGTGTTCGATTTCAATGATTCTTTTTTTGTTAGAAAGGGGGTACTTCAGGGGTGGTCCCATATAAATTTGGTTAAAATCTAATAATTGGATCCATGGGAAAATCCTCAAACTCTTCATTTTTTATGTATGTTTAGCGATAATGCTTTAATCTTGTCCGATTTCTATGATTCTTTTTTTGTTAGTAAGGGTGTACCTCAAGGGTGGTCCCATGTAAAATTGGTTAAGATGTGGTGACGGCATCAGCACGTTTTTAAAGTCGGTTTTTTTAAATTTTTAATTTCTAATACTTGTTTTCAATTACAAATTGCCAAGCACTTTCTTGAAGTAATTGACTTGACAAGCCCCAATTACAAGATTTTAAAAGAGCTTGGAGCATAGGGCTTTCAAGCCCTCAAAGTGCTTCAAGCACTTTTACAAGCACAAAGCACTCAAACCCTGTCCAGCTCTGTTGTTTATGTTAGGGTAGGGCGTAGGGGCTTATTCTCTAATATCATTTTAGTTGCCCCCTCCTTTTTTAAAAAACGGATTTAAGCAATTTTTTATAATTTATTTTGTTCAGGAGATATTGTTCATTGTAAGTTTTGAAGTTGACACCACATACAACTGAGCAGAGCTTGCGTCTATTAAAGTTAGGGACTGCTATTAATATTGTCATGCCAACCATTTTTGACCAGTCCGGTCATGTTCTGATCTCTTAAGTCCCTCTCTGCTTTATTTGGGCCTATTACGTTGGTCACTTACCAATAACCAAAAATATTCTATCGAATGGATCAATTTCTGAAACTGCCTTAAGATAAGATCTTGAAGAATGTATTGTTCTAGAAAATGGAGGAAGCACCGGTCTATGAATGTATGGAATGTTCATGAAACGCTTACTGCCAAAAGTGACCAAGTCAAAAAAATCTCATTTTTGTTTTTATCGACCAAATCACTTAAAACTATTTACTCTATATCTGGAAAAATTGACTAAGCTAGTAACTAATTTAAAAAAAGTTTGGGTATTTATAACATTTGATTTTAGGTCACTAGTATCAACTAGTTTAACTGTTTCATTAGTTTAAAACTGTTTAATCTCAAAAGTTTGTCTATCTGACTTGGTCAATTTTGGCAGTAAGTCGACGATTTATATACAGGGTGTTACAGAATTTTGTGAAGAAAATGTAATGGCAGATTCTACATCTAAATAATATGAAAAAAGTGTCCGGAGAAGCTCCATTTTCATAATACGAGATGTTTTAATTTTTACTTTTTTAATAGTTTATCCTACATTTGTCGATAATCCGTTGAGATATTGAATTAAGTTTTGGTATACGCAAATGTATCATGAAAGGTCACAAGTTGTTTTCTAAGGCACTTACATCAGTGTAGTTCGTGCCTGCAATCTTTATATCTAGCGAAAAACCTGTACTCCACTGGTTTTAGACAGCATTTTCGTTTTTCATATTTTTAGATTAATATTGTTAAGATAAATTATTATACCGAGTGGAACAAAAGTATGGAAACGCTTATGTCGTAAATGGGTATTCCGAATTGTGTAAAATTTGGGATAAGCCTATTGTTCAATTTAAAAATCTGTGTCCAACACATGACTTTCCTATCTAGTTAACCTATTGCAGCATCTCTAAAAATGTTTAGAGGATAAACTAAATATATACATTTTCCTCATACATCTACCTCGAAACATTTTTCTATAGATATTCATTGAAAACGAAAATATTGAAAAATTTAAATTTAGCACTTTTCCTCCAATTTTTCCATTACGGTCCATTTTAGAAAAGTCATTTAAAAACAAAAATTATAGAGATCGATATCGCAAACAACTTTTAGTTTAACAATTTTCTTAAAATCAGAATTTTGCACATTTTGTCAAATTTCTCGAATACGGACCATTTCAGGAAAATTTGACATAGAACAAAAATTATAGATAATAATTGTAAGTAACTT